TTGTGATCCATGTGTCACCTTGAGCTGGTTCACGTTGTCCTTTAAGAAATTGCAAGAGTACTTTCCAACTTCAAATCTTTAAGCAGATTGGCTCTATGATGTTTGGGGATATTCACAAGTACTTTGCTGCCGTTACTGACCCATTGGTTTGAGCTTGATGATACCTCCATGCACTTTTTGTCCTCCTCTGACATTTCTTTCTTCTCTTCTTACTCTTTCAGAGAATTCCTGAAGATATTGCATGATGAGTTCCTTCAGATTAGCAACTGATATCCAATTGACATCACCGATCTGGTTTCCACAGCAGTACAAAAATGAATGGACCATAACTAGCCATCCAAATGGAGCTCAAACAATAGAACAATCTTTCCTGACCCCTTTTCCTCAGGAGAACTGTACTTTCATATGCTTTAGGATTCAGCCGCTTCATCCGATTCTCTGTGCAAAATGACAGAGCTGCCCGGACCAAGGAATGCATAGGTCAAGATTAACTTATTTCCTTTATCCTCCTTGACTTGGACTGTCGCTATGGCTACTGCACATCCCTTACCGGCCCCGTTAGCGTCACATGCTGAACCAAGTGAATTGCTGACAAATGCTGCTTTTATATCAGGCTTTTGTTGAAGTTCCTGGTTTCCATACTCCATATTTAGTATGGGTAACCCCTTTCACAAGTTTGACACGTCACTGTTTTTGCAGTCCTTGCACAGTTGACATTTTATTAAATATCCAAAACACAGACCATTCATTTTTAGAAAATTAATCGTGTGGATGAGTTTTAAACTGTGGGCCATTTTTCCCACAACAGGAAGTTTGGATGCAATTGACCTAAAATTAGAGGGAATATCAAGTTCAACCATACACTGTAAATCCTGCATAACATTACCGTACCCTCTTAAGTACATCGCACAAGCGCTTTTCCATAGTCAGCTTTCATGGCTGTTGAGTTAAATGCCTTATCCAAATAAGCACCAGTTACTTTGAATTAGTTCCCAAAGTGATCCTTCAATAGCCGTTTGACTTCTGCATAACCTCTGCATGCATCCAAAAGCAGACTACTGCGAAAAGGTCGCTGGGCCGGCCAGAGGTGCACTGCTCGAGAAAGTGGAGCCTGTCATGATTGATAGTTATTTTCCTCCATTAGGTGTTCAAATGTCTGCATATAAGATTGGTTTGCCAGGGGATTGCCATCCAATACTGCAATCTCCTGTGACAGCTAGCTTTTGTTGCTCGATATGGTCAGCAATGCATTCTGGAAGGATGAGACTTTTGTTGATTGCTGCGTGGACTCATACGTTTCTGAAGTGGTGTTTTGGGCACCACACTCACTTGCATAAACTATACAAGTGACACCTCAGTATCCAAAAAGTCAGTTCTTTTTTACTGGCTTCCAAATAAGCCTTCAGTCCATCTCGAGTTGAATCAACCTTTGATCCTTCATTTCAAGGCTTTGGGGGGGGGAGTACTATTTTAGCAGCAGATGATGCAATTTTTATTTTCCAGCTCCATTCGTTCCGGTTTTGTTTTTAGTGTCACTTGAACTTGCAGTGCATGTTTGTCCTTTAATGCAGCAGCTGCTGTTTTTACATGCTGACCTGGAAAAATAGTTCAGTTCCACTTATTCTTCTTCCACAAAAAGTGTAATGGAACCAGTTACCAAATCATGAACTAGGGTGTGTGAGTGCAGTCAACTGAAAATATTTAATCCCAGGCTTGGTCATGATTTCGCACCCGACGTATCTGTCAGGGATAGGTTGCACAATTCTTCCGGTAAGCCATGAGTTGTGAGGTGCTGAGTAATCAACTGAGTCATGAGCACCATATCTCCGGGAATGAAGTTGCTCCCGACACTTCACCACTTATGACACACTGACACTCCTGAAGTAGAGCAAAGTATTCCTTAATCCATCGTTTTCAAAACAAGTCGAACTTGTTGCCATCTGCCTCGAGCATGTACCCTCCTTTTGGTACCGTCCTGATGGAAACAACGACATGACCTTAAGAAGCAAAAGTTTAGGGGTTAGTGCTTCTAAGTCATTGGGATCAGTGGATGCTCTGGTAATGGGACAGCTGTTGATAATAGCTTCTGCTTCACAGACAGTGTGATGACCCTCTTTATCAAGGTTCTGCACCTTCAGGATCTTCCACCTATGGCGTTGCAACATTCTCTCAGAAAGACTGCCATGAAAGTGCACTTTCCAAATAGGCAGAAGCAATTTTCTCTGCATTACCAAAATGTACTTGCAGCAAAGCTTTTGCTTCAACATATCCTCTGTCATGGGCCATATGAAGACAGTTTCTGACAAGCTCAAGGCTGCCCCCTGGTGTACTGTTTGAGGAAGTTTAAGCAGTGTTTAGGGTCGTCAGTCTTCTCTTCAATGCTGTGCTCAAAAGCCCCTATAAATGTGTGTAGTGCAAAGGGTCACCGTCAGAAACCGGAAAGTAAGAGACAGCTGCTGAACCAACAAGGCTGTTCATTTTGTGTCTCCGATCCCTGCTGCTTGGTGCTGAAACTGTGGATGCGATTGTGTGACATTGATGTCTCGTTTCCTCTGAGCGTCAACCATGTGAGTTGAGGTTGTAGATCTTGAGATACATTTCTCACTTTAGGTCCGGTGTTTAAATTGTGGGTCAGGCTGGCCACTTGAAGAGAAGTCTATATCAGCTACGGAGTGTTTGAACTTTCCTTTGTCCCCTCTCAAAACCGTTAATGTCAGAGTTCATGCCATTGGAATTCACATATGCGATACAAGCAACACAAAGCCCTCCATCGCCTCTTAGCACGTCCACTTCAGCCATTGATCCGGCTATTTCCATTTAAAGTTCCACTTGCTCCTTTTTGCCCCCCTTAGCTCCTCTTGTTCTTCCAATGCATGTTTGTCCTTTAATTTCCTTTGTTGTGCATTGAGAGCGTCCATGTGAGCCTCAGCTTTAATGTGTGCTGAAAATATAGTTGAGACGCTGGTGCTAGTTCCAGCAGAGCTTTGCTTGCCAGACACTCAGCTTCCAGTGTTTGACACATCGCATGGTTTAATCTCATCTTGTGTGACAGAGGATTCAACATTTTGCCCAGAGTGTTTTAAAACTTGACTCCTCATCATGGTGTGCATCAGACATATCATTTGTGGCAACATGTGGAATGGTATTGCTTATTTGAATCCCAGTTTCAAAAAAACATTGCTGTGCATCCTCAATAAATCCGTTGCTGCATTCGAATAGCAAACCATTTTATTTTTCCTGTTCCTCTTTAGGAAGTAAATGATTCACAGACACATGTAACAGGGTTGTTTCCTCAACCATTTCAGTTCAATTTCTGAAGTTGAGGACGCACCTGTGGGGCATTGTCATCCTTTTGCATGAAATCCTTTGTCTTTTATTCCACACCTTTTGTGAACCTTTGCTTGCACTCATTCTGGAGCAAGGCACAAAAGCCTTGGCAGCAAGTTTGAATCCTTCTTTGTGTTCATCCAGTTTGACTTTGAGCCAATCTTCCCCATTTCACAATAGCAAACGTGCAACAAATCATCCCATCGACACTGCCCAATAAATGATCAATCACACAGTAGAATTAACACCAAGTACCATATAACACCTCTGCCGCTTTGTCGATAGCCGTCAGGCTTTTATCCTTGTAGCAGCAATGAATGAACTGCTCACCAATAGAGTCACACAATACCACAAAAAACTCGACTTCTGAAGCATTCAAATCATGTCATGTTGAAGTTTAGTGTTGAGTGAGTGGGGACAGGCTTAAGTCCTTTTTTAAGTGTTCTAGGTAGTTGTATTTTTACAAGATACATATTCAAATTGCAATTAGGATAAAGTGCCGGACACTTTGCTTGATAATATAATGTATTATCCGTATAGGCCTACTTTTAATATGCATGTAATGTCCTTTGTTCTCTTTCATAGGGTTTTTGAAATTAAATCATTCTTAGCTCATACCAGTCCCCCATGATCCTCCTCGTTCTCCTCCTTTGATAAGTGCATTTGACAAGACTGACGGACATCATTGAAATAATTGACTGTTTTTGATTAAATATTTCCAAACCTCCGTTGACATGATCAACATTTCCACCATCCACCAGCACAGCTTATATGTCATTCATTGTTTTTTGTGCATTTGCATGATCATAGTTTTCCCCCGTGGAGTGCTTTGAGGATTTTAACCTACTTCTACCTCAGTAGAAGTCTTAAGGCTGTCAGTCATGTTGGTTTTTGTGTGTTTTAGGCTGTGTGTTGCAAACATTGTTGCTGAACCAATAGGTGGCGTGGCAAGGTATAATCTCACAGAAATAAATCAACATTCATTTTTAGAATAACCATTTAACCAACCACATAGCATGTTCGTAATCGAAATAAAACCTTTAAATCCTGCAGAATTATTTTTTTCAAGTGTCTAGAATACACAAGATGCATTAAGTAGAATGAAAGATAAACACTTGGAACATGTTTGTGTACCCCAGTCCCTGCAGCAGCAAATTGACTACATTGGGTCGGGTATTTAAAAAATAATAATTTGTAGAGGAGTGGTTAATTAATATATATATATTCCATGTGTGTTCTTGGGTAGTAGTGGTTTCTGGTTTCTTTGTAAGACTCCTTTATTGAAATATGTTTGAGTAACTTGACACATGAGGAGGCTCAAAAAGTTATTTATGTCGGATTTAAAATTAGACAAGTCAACAATGACCTAAAGTAGGGGAGCCATTATCTCTGTCAGTCACGCGACCTTTCCTGCTCTGCAAAGTGCTGTATGTGGTAAATGTATTTATCGTTACTTTCTACTTCAAACAATAAAAACGCCGTTGAGCATTTCAACAGCAGGCTACTAAAGGTTGTATATTTCCCCTGAAGAGTTACACAAACCTCTGTGGGTAACTGCACAGCTCATTTAGTCATATGACACACATCACATGATAACCCACATGATAAACCCGCCCCTCGCTTCTGATTGGACAATCCTCTACCACGCCACAGTCTGATTGGTTGAGAGATGATGTCTATGGCTGTGTTTGCGGTTTGTTATGTTACCAGTATTCAGAGTCATATGTGTTGTGTTTGACTCTAGCCTGACTGTTTATCTCCTGTATTTGTGATCCCACAGTAGAAACAATGCGTTGGTGCATCGCAGCTGCTCTTTTGTGTGCGGTCATAGGTAAGAGACGATGTTTAATGAGACTCATCGTGTCTCCACTTATAGCTACGTTACGTGCTACGAAAACAGCTGACGTCCGCATTTGGTGTTATTACAAAGTATTTTTCATGCAAACTATCGGTCAGGTTGCTAAATATAATAATTAGTTATTCACGGCAGTGGTAAGTGAATATTAAAGTCTGCATGAATTCAGATAGTAAGGAAAGTATATCGTCTTCTGTCTCCGATACGTGAACAAAGAGATTGTTTTGCAAAAATCTGTCAATTTAGATTTGATTTGATTATCGTGGTAGTTACATGCATCCTAAAATATAGATTATGATGCCGAACAAAACATGTAAACTAGACTTTGATTCAGTATACATGCAACAGACTGAACTATAACTTACATCTTTATTCCTTCAGTGGTGATCGAGTTCTATGTGAGGAATTCTAGGCAGTAAGATTGTACAAATATGTGGAAGTCGGTCGGTTGCTTAATTAGATTTCCCTGCAAAATGTCTCATAAACGGCTTCAGTTGATTGTCTGCTGGAGTATGATAAGAATGAAGGAATAATAAAGTATTTACTCTATCACAGCTGTCTTGCAGCTGTTTGCTTTGACTCTTTGTAAGTAGAGAAGTAAACTGATAAGTTCAACAACAATCCTGATAGGGTTTTTTTGTAAAGCATCTTTCAACACTTTGTTTTTGTTTCCAGCTACAGAGGGAAAAGCAGTCCCTTCCCCTCCAAATTTTGGGAACAGCTATCATGTCAAAGGTAAGCAGTGCAACATTAAATTACACACATTAGGACCTATTTTTCCTCAGCTTTGAGCCTCATTGAAGGACTGTTTTCACATTTGTATTGCAGGAGTGATCTCTCTGCCCTACGCTGAGATCAAGGAGCCATTCGAGGCCTGGTTAGACCTAGCGGCGAAGTCCAGCCGAATAGACTACTACCATGGTAAGAAACCTCTGGAATCCCTATTCCTCTTAAACCTGACTCTGTATTTCTCCCTGCTCCGCTGGATTATTGATGTGAAACTGAGAACATGTTGTGTCAGACCAAAGTCCCCACAGCGAAACGTAAGCTCAGCACTCAGTGCACAAACTAAGAAGTGAAAGAAAAAGAATCAGCATTTTGGGGGAGACTTATTGTCGACTCATGTTACATACTCATGACTTATTAAGTCAGGTGTTTAAGCCGATTTTGTAAACTGTTTCTTTTTGTTGCCATCTTCAGGAAGTAAAATGTCAGAAGTTTAATTTCTCAGTTATAAGTGATCACAGATTACATACACCTTGTTTCTGTCTGTGGCTATAAACATACCTACATTTATCTAGTGTCAAGTTTAAGATGTGTTTATCTCATTTTGTTGCAACGGTTTATATAACTGTATTTATCATAACCAAAGCAAATGCTTATTAACAAAATAGTAACGTCTTCACCAGAGAATAGCCACAGTATTGTACAGTAGGTGCTCTGGTCTGTAGCATTTGCTTCAGAAAGCCTAAGCAGACCACCAGCCTCTGTTTCATTTTACAAAATCATTAACTGAACATGCACTGAAAATAATGCATGTTTAACATGTAATGCAAAAATGGGGAAGCAGAAGGGTGTAAATAAAGCTGTTACTGCAAGTAGAGTAATGTGTGGCTTCATGAAATTGCACACTGAGATTAAAGGAACTAATACTGGTTTTTAACTTCTCACATTGATCATCAACAGGCCAGGTGTCGACCTTCCAGTTGGGGGCGGAGCAGCCGTGGGGCGTTTCCTATAAAATCACTCCCGAGACCACGGAGACGATGCAGAATATGATGAAGTGTTTCCAGGTCAACGGCACGAAGGATGAAGCGGTCACATCGCAGGCGTCGCTGCCTGATGTGCAAGGCTTCCAGGTCTGTGAGCGTCAAAGTGCTCTGTGAAGTATTTCAACATCAAAACATGTATTATTTTATAGTATAGAAAAATACTGAAGGAAACGTTGTTCTCACCTGTTGCAGCATATTCTGCGACCCATTCAAGTGTAACTGCAGACCTGAGTTGACCGATTTTAATAATTGTAACTGTTTGCTGCTCCTTTTTGTTTTTGTGGTCTTGCATTTCAAACCAAAAATCGAGTGTAACCCTCTGAGTCTGTTACACTGCAGCCTTAGTGAGTGAGATTTAAGGTCCTTGTGCTGCTGACTCTTGAGTAATCTTACAGCCTTGCACCAATGCAAAATCATAGTGACGTTGAGCACTGAGAAAAAAAATTCTACATAAAGATAGAAGAGTTGGCATCTTCCTTTGTGAAACAGGACACATACTGTTAAAGATAAGATACAACTTTATTCATCCCAAAGGAAATTCTTGTGCCAGAGACAAAGGTGACAACAGAAGAATAAGAAAAAACATTACAGTAAAAATATAAACATGTATAAAAAATAGAGTAATAAATACAAATTGTATCAGAAGTAATACTTACACCAGTGCAAAATAGACTATGCACTATGAATAAGAATTAAAAATTACAACAACATAACAAAACAAGAGTACAAATAAAAAGTGCACAAGAAGTAATGCTAACATCGGTGCCTAATAGAAACTTAAAATGTGAAGTAATACTGTGCGTGATATTGAAAAATGCACATTTGATTTGACACGTGATTTATTTCTGTTGGGGAAAAAATGCTCTCACATGTTTTGTCTGTGTGCTCACAAGTCAAAATGTTGATCTGCCTCATAGTTCCTGAGGATGGAGTACTTTGGAGGTTCCCTGTGTGAAGTTTGGCAGAATGTGACCTCTGTGGGCTACAAGAAGAACACCTACACACTGTGGGTGTCCCGTTCAGAGAGGGGTGCAGACGGCAGTGACGAGCCTGCCACGCCCCTCCATTATGAGATGTTGGGTTACAACACGCTGCTGGGCTCACATTATGACAAATACTTGGTGGACTACAAAGAGTTCAGCACTCACGTGGACCCAAAAGTCTTCTCGCTGCCTGAAGGTTTGTGCTCCGCTGTAGTTGCAAGACGTTTTAGAAGAGTTTATAAAGGTAGGAAAAAAACCTTTTTTATTTTTCTTCTCCTACAGGGATGAGCTGTGGTGGGTTTCCTGGTCAAGGAGTGGAGCACCACATGTTGGCCAATCCAATGAAAGATCTCGTCCACACCTCGGCATCAGGCCACTCAGAGCGCATGTTCAACCATTTCAAGGACAAGTTTCAGCGTCAGTACAACGACGAAAGAGAACATGAGAAAAGGGGACACGCTTTTGTTCATAACCTCCGGTGAGAGGAACATTAAATACTGAAAAGTTGAGTCACTGCAGCTTTTCTTAAAGGACATATGCTTTACAGCAGTTCAGCATAGATGTATATCAGATGACTGGTTTCCTGTTACTGTAGGTATGTCCACTCCAAGAACAGAGCAGGGCTGCCCTTCTCTCTGGCTCTGAACTCGCTGTCAGATCGAACCATGTCGGAGCTGGCCACCATGAGGGGGAGGAAACAAGGAAAGACCCCAAACAGAGGGCTCCCTTTCCCCTTAAAGAATTACAAAGGGGTGAAAGTGCCCGAGTCACTTGACTGGAGGCTTTACGGTACGTATATGCAATTTAAAAAAAAAAAAAAAAAAAAAAAAAAAGTCAAACAAAGATGCATCTTCCTGGCAGGGCATCCTAGTTTTTAACTGGACTCTGCTCCTGCAGGTGCCGTGACCCCGGTGAAGGACCAGGCCATCTGCGGCTCCTGCTGGAGCTTTGCCACCACTGGAGCAGTAGAGGGCGCTCTCTTCCTAAAGGTGAAAACGATTTTTTTTTTTTTAAAAAGCAGCTTACTCCACAGTCACTGGCCACATTCGAGTGTTTATAACTGACGGGGCCCCTTCCTTATGCTCTTTGAAGCCACAGATGTTCAGCGTGGTGGTTCATCTGGTCATGTTTTGGTAGATTTGCGTTGCGGTTATGTTTGCTGTCAATCTATTATTGGCATCCTTCTAAATATTTAAGAAATCATAAGATGTAACTTTAATGATCGGTGTAGCTGTAGGGGAGTGGGTTATTTAGGCAAAACATTGTGCCACTTTCACTCACGTTAGTCAGACTTGACAGTATGTGTGTGTGCGAAGAAATTGAACTGAGTGAGTTTACGCTTTGGCCTGCCTCGGTCCCGTGCAAGGCGATGCTCAAAGGCATTCCTTTACTCAAGCAACTCGATCCAAACATTGGATGGTTTATTATGGGATGGCACCCCACTGAAGTGACCAACTTCTTTGACTCACTCTTGATTTTGTCCCTTGCATCGGGCCAGCAGCTGTTTAATTGATAGGCTGTTTTTGAAAGAGCCTTCTTCTGAGCCGAGGGTAATGTGCTGGTAGAGTGCTAGGTAATGGGAGAAAAGGAGGGGTATTATGAGCTTACACGACCCTCATTGTGTAAGCAACATCATGAATTAGGTAATCATTAGTAACATTTTAAACTAATGTTGATGAAAGGAAATGGTGAGAATCAAGCTACTGCTAAATATTTAACATTAAAATGTTTGGCATTTGGATTAACTAAAGGGTTTTGTCAAAATTATGAGACCACAGAGGGAGACTTCTCTGTGGATGAGTACTCCACTAATTGTTTCAGTGTTAGTGTTTGATTGGGCTTGGAGGAAGTGCGTTGTGAAGCCCCAGCGGTTCGTCTTTGTGCGTTTGCCAGCACGCAGCGCAGCAGCAGGAAGTGACCCGCAGGATGCTCCCCCCCCCCCCCCCCCCTCCCCATCGGCAGGTTCATAAACAGAGCCGCTCCCCAGGGGCCAGTTTTAAATATACTTCTTCGTGATCTCACAGCGTCTGCCCAGCAACCTGCAGACAACAGCTGGTGTAAAAATGTTCATCATGAACGTCTCTGTTCAGTCCCAAACCATCTATGTTTTTCTGCAGTTGTACTTTAGAGAATTTGTATTCGGTGATCATGTCTTTTTGTTTGGGCTCTTGTCTTTCAGTCGGGATCCCTGCAGGTTCTGTCTCAGCAGATGCTTGTAGACTGTTCCTGGGGATTCGGCAATAACGGCTGTGATGGAGGGGAGGAGTGGAGGGGATACGAGTGGATCATGAAACACGGAGGCATCGCCACAACAGAAACCTACGGAGCCTATATGGGAATGGTGAGAGAATAGTATGAAACCTGTACCTGTAGGAGCAGAATAACCTGTAACGCCAGGGCTCGACAGTAAGGGTTGCCATTTTGTAACATAAAAAATAGGGACCGTAAAATGTGCACAAATTGGGACTACTACAGTTACAAGTTCCTATGTGAATATTTCCAAATCGGTCATGATTACTTTCCTTCAAGGGAAAGATGGTTTCCAGTCCTGCTGCACTACAGGGTTCGGTGTTAACTTCTCCCTCTCTGATCAGAATGGATTTTGCCACATGAACACATCCCAGCTCACTGCACAGATCCAGAGCTACACCAACGTGACATCAGGAGACGCGGAGGCCCTTAAGCTGGCGCTCTTTAAAAACGGACCGACGGCCGTCAGCATCGATGCATCTCACCGTTCATTTGTTTTCTACAGCCACGGTGTCTACTATGAACCGGCTTGTGGTAAGTTTGCCTCCCACCTTTCACAGCAGCAACGGCCTTTGTCGCTCCCTAACTCTGCATGCTTCTTGTGCTTTCCAGGTAGCACCACTGAAGATTTGGATCATGCCGTGCTTGCGGTGGGATACGGCACACTAAATGGGGAGCCATACTGGTTGGTGAAGAACTCATGGTCCACCTACTGGGGCAATGACGGCTACATCCTCATGTCAATGAAGGACAACAACTGTGGCGTCACCACCGATGCGACGTATGTCACACTGGCATAGATGTGGCCCTTTCCTCTATGTATCACTAAATGTTAATGCCACTATGTGAGTGCCTGAGGATGAAAGACATCTAATGTCGGATGTGCTGAGGCGTGGATATCACGTCAAACTGTGCTGCTTGGTGTTATTAATGTGTTAAATGTTGCTGTTGGATGGTGCCTGAGGAAACTGTACACAGAACAAGTCCGCTTTTTCAAACATGATTTTGACAAGTTTATTGCTGGTGGCACATAGCTACAGTGCCTTCATTTCAGTTGCACAAGGTACATTTTGTGACATATTTCCACTTTGTCTTATACTTTATAATGTATTGCATTCAAATGCACTGGAATGGAATCAATGCAATTGTAAGTCGCTTTGGATAAAAGCGTCTGCTAAATGACTGTAATGCAATAAAAATGAAAAAGGAAAGTTTTCTGTCTGCTGGTTCCAGTGACATCTTGTGATTCTTGTTCATCTAACGTACTGAAATGCGGTTGTGTAACAGCGAGGTATGCTGTTTAGCTTCATGCAGTTGAAAAACATGTTTTTATGATTTTATACATTCAGAGCACACTGCTCTCAAATAACTTCACTATATGAATAATAGATTTTAAAGAATAAAGTTCCTTTTGCCTGAGTTACATTGCATGTTACATGATGTGCTTCTGATCCATGCCTGGTTTTTTTTTATGTATCACAAGTTTATATTTACAATAAAAGTCCTTTATCATTTAACATAAAAGTAAAAAGTATTTCACAGATCCAAGTCATCAGTTAGTCATTTTACATCCGAGTATAATTCAATATATTAAAAGGGGACAGACTTCTAGAAACGATGCTGGAATCAAATATTTCTTCACATGCTGATCAGTTGCATCCCATAATATCCATACAAAACTACAAATGAGCTACATTATTCTAACAAAAGGCTACATTAGCCACCATAGAGTTAACTTGTGCGTGGCTTGTTCAATACAGCATTAAGATACATCAAACAGTCCACAGATATGGCACACTTTTAAACAAAACTAGTATTGCTTTTAGTGCTTTTATTAAATGTAGAAATGTAATGAGTCCTTCAGCCCTAACATATATGAAGTCCTAATCATAGCTGCTCAACATGTACTACAGTGGGAGGAACTGTCCCTTTAAAGGTGCTGTATAGGAGATAGGGAGCATTTCTCTCAACATGGCGACGGCTGAGTCGGCGCCTCGCAGTTAACGGTGCAAACAAATGCGCAAGTGCTGACAAAGCTGACAGTTTCTAGTTCCATGAACTAACCAGTGGGGCACGCTCACATGCACGAACTTGCACTGAAAGCATGCACAGCCGGCCCGGCTATGTCAACAAAGTAGGATAAAGCTCTGATTATAACACACAGAGGGCTCAGGTAGATATTACTCCACTACATTTTTACATGGGTAATGGTTGTTTGCTGTGATATTAATGCTCTGACTGTAGCACCTTTAAGAACTATATCTGGTAACTATGTTTAGTGTGTGCAGCCCTTTTCACACAGTTAGGCCTGGCTTGCGAGATGTCGCAGCGCTTGCTCCTCCGTGCTGCTTGCTGATTGGCTCATATCCTCAGACATCTCAGGGTTCTCCTTGTTGAGAGGCGACCTGTGGGAGACAAAACAAAATGCACAGACTGAGCTTTTTCCAGGTGTCTGGGTCTTTACATTGAAACACTGAGATTGTATATCCTGCTCAGGGTCATGGAGGCCGAGCTGCAAGGCTGCATTAGATAAACACTAACCAAAGAGCTCAAAAGTAAAAAAAAACAAAAAACAGAGGCCACGTTCTAGTACCTCGTGTCCCAGTTCTCAGCCTCCTCCACTGTGTCAGGAAGAGGTCTGTCAGCAGTTTCGGGCAGTGCCAGGGCCAGGACAGCACCCAGCAGCGGGAAGGCCCCGAAGATGACCAGAGGAGTGGAGGGGCTGTGGTCATGAAGTAGGTTTATAACGGGAGCCAACACACCGCCCACCCTCGCAAACATACAGGATACACCTATTCCTGTTTGCCTGTAGGTACACAAGGGAAGTTGTAGGTATTACCCACAGAGAGTTTGGGATCATGTGTGTAAAACTGCCCAGATAGACACGATTTACCGGAGCACAGTGGGGAATATCTCAGCGGTGTACACGTAGATCACAGCAAAGGAAGCTGTTATACCAAACTTCCCAACCATAGCAAGACCAGTCAGGACATTGGGATGATCTACAGACAGAGGGAGGGAAATGATCAAAGTGATGCATCTGAGTATCAGCTCATGACGTTTGGAGAAAGTTAACAGTCCTGTCTGAACACAACAGACACACGGCGTCCATCCTACCTGCAGGGACAACGAGCATCAGCAGACAGGCGAGCCCTCCGACAGCTAGAAATCCGCTTTGGGAGAGTCGGCGACTGCAGGGCAAGACAAGCAGGACGAGAGAACGAGCCGGGACCTCAACCAACCCGAACACAAACTGGGTCAGGTAGAGGTTCGTCCCTAATCTGGACACGCCCAGAGAGAGGCCGTAATACACCAGCACATTCACAAACCTGGGGGGCAGAGGAGGAACGGGGATGGAAGAAAAAATGGTAAAAGGGATTTAGAATTTGATTTGTATATATATACAGTCTATATATATATATATATATATATATATATATATATGTACATACAAGTATACATGCATGCACACTACACACAACATTTACCAGATGTAGAACAAGATGAGAGCCCTCTTTCTCATCTGAGGTGTTCGTACGAGATCCACTGCTGAATAACTTTGTTTCCTTCCACCTAAAATCTGACATTTTTCAACCTGGACACACGGAAACCAAAACCTTTAAAGAGAAAGGCTGGTAATCTTCAACAATGTTTCTTATTTGTTAACAAATCCAATGAAACAATGTACAGCTGCAATGAGAAAAAATGGACTTGAGGCTGAGTGGCATAGACAGAGTGGAGGAAGTATTGAAAAAACTACACATGGTTGGTTTTGGTGTTTTTATCGATTTGTGGGCAATAATAACAAAAAAAACAGTTTCACAAAAAAAGACCTTTACAGGTCATACTGCATGCAGCAGAGATTAAAAAAAATAAAAAATAATTAACAGCTTAGATAGCCTGAGAGAGTATGACACACCTGTACAGCAGGAGGTAAGACGCGGCCGTTAACGAGTGCTGCCTTGCGGAGGAGTGCGATGGCTTCCTCTGTCCTGTCGTTGGCCAACAACCATCTGGCAGACTGAGGAAGCACCCTGATAGGAGATAGAGAGGGCAAACAGCAGGCAGGGAGAGAAGGGAGAGAAGGGAGAGAAGGGAGCAAGTGGAAGTCCCAGACATAAGGGCAGAGGAGGAAATGTGGATCACAAAGAGGGCATTCATGTGCTCTTGTCAGAGCATTGTGTGAATAATACACAGTGGATCTGATGTTCGGCTGCTCTTTGCTCACCATATATAGAAGATGAGCAGGAATCCTGGGGCTGATATGGCTAACTGCAACTTTCTCCAATCTCGTATCAAGTATGCTACGCCTGCAAGCAGCATGTAGCCCAGACCAAACGCGTAGTCGGTGAGGATACCGGCGAGCAGGCGCCTCTTGGTGCATGTCCACTCGATGCCTTTGAAAAAAAAAAACAGTGCAGGGTTTGGCAGGAGAGGAGAGGAGAGGAGAGGAGGAATCACGGGGAGAGGGTGAAACTGAGGTGGTGGTTTGGAGCTTTAATGTGGTGGAAGGAGTGGCAAGGGTTTGTGTTGTGGGGTTGGGCAAAAATAGCAAAAGAAAGCATGAGCAATTAAAGTATAAATCACTGCAGGTCTGACAAATGAGATGACTATCCTCTGCTTTCCTCAACTTTTAATGAACAATTGTGGCTGCTAGTAAAGTCTGTTTGTTATCATTAATCCATATGAGGAATCCAAACTTCTTCCAACTGAGTATGTGTGCTTTGGTAGTACCAAGTACAAAGGCATTGATGATGACTCCAGATATCGTGGTGCCAACTAAAAAGCGAAGGATCACATAGACGGGGAAGTTGGGTGCGAAGGCCACAGCGACTCCAAACACAGTCTGAAGAGCGATGCACAGCAGCAGGACGAAGCGTCGGCCATACCTTGCACACACAGAGAGAGAGAGAGAGGGGACTGGACATGAGTTTGCACATTCAAATGAGTGAACCACTGTGACTGTGACAGGGTGAGAAAGGTGAGAATTTCAGTAGCATGTTACCATATAGCATTTTTTTTTTACAAGATGTTTAAGCGCAATCATTGGCTATAAATCCAATCCCATTACAGTGTTAGTCAAACCACATATGCCAAAGACTTGACATGTGTCTGGGCCTGCAGCCGTGCTTTGACGCTGAGGACCTGGCTGCGTGTTGCATCTGTATACAGAGTCGGAGGCTGCAGGGCTCCGGACTAAGAGAGAGCAGCAAAGCCTACTTGTCGGCCATGGCCCCAAACAGCACCGATCCCACCAACAGGCCGAGCATGTAGACAGACGAACCGAGACTGTTCAGTCCAGCTTTGTCACACACCAGGTCCCACTGGTAGAACGGAAAACAACAAAGAAGCTTTTATTTTTCATTTATAGACTTTTTGCTAGACAAATTGAGTCCGTACTGACACACTGAAAGTTCACTGTGTTGTAATTGATTTATGTTAATATGATTAGGTGGAACTATCATTTGGGGAAATGAGAACATGCAGCACTAGAGCACAATATTAACAGACGTGACGAGGTCCTCAAGGTGGGTCCTGATTAATGCTGAGGGGCCCTGCATCAAAACGTGGCTTTAAAGATGTAGTTTGACAGTTTTGGGGGACACGCTTGTTTGCTATCTTGCTGAAAGTTAGCAGAGAAAATCAACACCATTGTCATTTCTGTCCCGTAAACAGCCAGCCTGGCTCTGTGGATTACAAAATACCAGCACCTTACCAATACCTTAAAGCTCACTAATTAACATGTTAGATATTTTTGTTTAAACTGTATAAAAACGTAACTCTTAAACCGACTACCATCCCTATTTTACAGATGGGTTGTGGAACAGTAATTCCCTAAATCTTTTGAAACGTTGGATGTTAATTAGGGAGCTTCAGAGGTAAAGACAAAGCCAGGTCAGATGTTTGGTATGTTGTCATTTAAATAAAAGTGGTGTCAATCTCTCATCTAACTCTCAGCAAAAAAGCAAATATTTTTCAGAAAATATAGACTCCTTTAATCCTTTAAGTCCACACTGAAAATGTTTTCAGCTGATACTGTTCTTACATGGAGCATTATCCTGAATGAATTTGAAACATTTAATTAATTGCAACTACTTTATCCTAAATTACTTGCAAACATGAGCTGAGATAGTGGACCATGCAGCTGCCTAGCAGGATAGTCTGTGTCTACTCGGTTTATCTGTCGTCACATCACCATGATACAGGGACTTTGTGTAGTTCCTTCATTATGGAGGTGTGATGATCTGAAGTTGTGAAGATGGTGGGGCCATGCTTTAATAATAATATGTTGATGTTAGTCTTCAATGCATTACTCCACTTTGGTTTTTGTTTTGTTGCTCATCAAACATAACAGTTGTTCCACTGCACAAATGAAAACCACTCATCTGTTTACTGATTCCACCATGCACGAGCATTAATTTGGGGATGACTATCCGAGAGTTGCAAACTTGTCATACTGTGATAACCGATCACACTTAATGTGCACATCAGCATCCTACCGTACCTCGGTGACTGTTGTGCTCTGGAAGGTCTCCTCGCTGTACACCCATCCGTGGCCACATGGCACGCGCTCAGTCCGGTTCCCCTCCAGTTGACCGTCAGAAGAGAAGCAGGAGGAATCCGAGAGGCTGAAGTTCAGGCTGAGTGTGCCGGGGAGAGAGGACTGATTCCCGCCAACTGAGACGGAGCTCTCCCGGCAGTGGTAGGTCGGCGTCGATCCGGTGAAGATGCTCACCATCATATGGAAGGCGAGGAGGATCTGGGGTAAACAAATCCATATGTACAAAATTTTCTGAAACTTGCCGAAGCCTCCGATGGCAGAGAGAATCTGGTCGAAATTCATTTTGGGGAAATATTGGTCAATTTCGGAGATTGGCTCCGTTCCAGTGGAGGCGGCAGGCTGAATGTAAACACCCAGCAGGCAGTAAATCAGAGGGGCGGACTGTTGTTCGGCAGGAAAATCAATTCCCATGTGCATGACCCATCTTTAGCAGCCTCCACATGACCCGAAAGAAACATGAACAGACATCAACTCCCCGTCGACACTTCCCACCTTAATGCAAGCAGCTGCATCTGGTTTCACGCGCACAGGTCGATTTAAGTGCAAAAGGTCCATCACTTTTCTTATCAGATGATTCCCAACAAAATGTGGAAACCGGTCAAATAACTGCATCAGCTTGATGCATGAAGAACTATGCAAAATTCTGTCCTCGTTTGATGTTATTATGATGTTATTATGATATTAGAAAGGGAAAAACATCACATGAATGCCTTAGGCTACATGTCCGGTGTTGTTTTGATGCTCCTGCTGTTTTCCACACGGTGCAACATCTGTAGAACCCCACAGACATTAATGGCAGCTGGGCGCGCGTATGGAGTGATGCATCTGTTACTTATGGGGCAGGGCTATAGCCTCATTACTAAATCCCACAAAAGACGCTCCAATGCCAGACTCACACCACTGACGCGCTGTGATCCGATAGGCCAATGTATCTTTTATAACGTGTTTCCTTCCCCACGTTGAGTGTTCAGTGCCCCTTTGTTTATTTGTGGTGTACACAACACATACACGAGACAGCTCTGCTATGCGCGAGAAACATTGTGTCTTGATGTCCTCAGAGGCCATCTGCTGCCATCTGCTGTTAAAAGATTGAATTACAGCGAGGTTTGTAGCGAGACTCCTCCATCCGACCTCAGTCTGTCTGCTGTCACTGATAACTGATCAGTGCATGTATGTATTTGTGGTCTTTGATATTATAGGTCCCTGTTCCTGCTGTACGGTCAAGAGTTGGTTTACAATCATGACGGTCAGCTGCTGCTTTCAAGCGCTGCACCCCGATCACTTTCTTCTGCCACTCTGCAGGCTGATAATACTTTATAAGTTGTATTTAAGACATAAGAAATGGACTTGTTGATATGATGGGGTACCATAATGTTTATTGTGAACTTTATTTCCTGATAGATGCTGTCATTTTGTACGAATTGTAAATCCAAATGCAGTTTATTTTTATTTTGGGCTATATAAATAAAATGTACTTGAGCTGACGATATATCAATACGTCAAATCCCGTCCATCCATTCTGCATTCATTTCTTTGTATTGTTTACAATTTACAGACCACTTGACTTGAATATTAACTTGTTTATTTTTGTTTTATTGTTGGTCATTGGTGCTTTTTATATATACTTATTTTATATTTACTCACAGATACACAGATAATAAAGGTGAGTCTGACTTATTAAAAAAAAAAGAAAACATAGTAATATGATAACTATTACTAATTCAGTAGGCCTATGTGGTTTTCTGAGTGCATAAACCATCGATGTAAATGGATGTAACACACTGAACAGACTTGGTACACTACTTCTACTTGATTATTGATGTATAAAGGCCAATAAAAATACTGTGTTGCTAAAAGGTTAGATGACGTGACCTGATATCACTCATAATGTATAGAGTTGTGTTTACAGTAGCATATGCTCATGTCTGAATCAGTAAATCCACTGATCGCACTAAACATCAAGCACAGATCATGAATACATATCTATCAAAACCAACAAAATAAAGCCAGATAGGACCCCAAAGTAGCACAAGGTCACCGTAATCTCACTAAGCAGAACCATAGTGTTTTATTTCATGTTAGAGTTAGGCCTTTCCTTGGGCTAACACTTTACGTTACACTTTGCAAATAAATAATGCAGTCAGTTACAACATTTTCCGATCCAGAGTAGTGCGATTGATTCCCAAATCCAAATCTATTTCTAAAGAACATTTAAAGATAACATCAGTCGACCGAAATGAGGTACAATCAAACTAACATAAAAACAACACAATAGAACACAAAAGACATGTTAAAATGACAATATATAAGAATATAGTAACTCAGATAGTCAAAGCCAGAGAATACAAATGTGTTTTAAGATGAGATTTAAAAACAGACAATGTGCCTCACGGGCAGTTTTGGGAGTTTGAGGGCTACAGTTGCAAAGGCCCGTGGTCCCTGTGCTGGACGGGACGTATGGTTTCAAAAGAGCTGAGATAAAGGTTGTTAGTAGCTTGTGTAATATAGGAAATAAAATCAATTCTAAAAGAGAGCCACTGAAGGGAGGCCAGTAGCCCGATATGGGAAATATGGTTTGTCTGCTTGTTACCGTTAAAAGACGCCCTGCATCATTCTGGATCCAATGCAAGCGGGAGAGGGAAGCTTGGCAAACACCAACATAAGGGTCACAACAGGTCAGGTCAGGTCAGAGAGGAAGGCACTAAAGAATAAAAATGACTTGACCTTGAACAGCTTCAGATGGAAAAGGAGAGATTTTATGAGTCCGCCATGTTATTCTAGTTATTCTCTGGAGACGATGGATCCTCTCTCTTCAGTCTCGCTGGTCAAGTGGGAGGAAATCACTGCAGCAGATTCATTGGAATTAGTTTAATCTTTAAGTCACCGTTCCGTAAAAAATAAAAATAAAAATGTTCATGTCGTATGTTGATGGAAGAATGTTTTTCTGCATAATAATCCACCTTGCTGGAGAATAATGTGTGTGTGTGTATTGGTATACTTTAATTAGGCCTGAACTGAATTAAACGAGTAAAAACTGTGAACTATTAAAATACATGCAATTTATTATTGTGGTGACTTGGACGCGGTCTTCCTACTTTACATGTGCGTTATAAAAACGGAAGCCTGTCCCCTTCCGGTTGTGGGTGCTCGTGACGTCACTGATGCTCGATTCAGACCGGGCTGGGTGCTGGTTTGGGTGTCTGGACGGCAGCAAGGAGATAAACTGTCAAGTCAGATAGAGTTTACCAGGAAGCAAAAGCAGAAACAAATCTTCCCTTTAAAATTAAAAGCACAAAAGTCTCTTTTTAATTTCCCAAATGAAGACAGAGACTGGAGAAATATTGTGGTGTTCATAACCAATAACCATATCGGTAGCCTACACATTCACATCTGAGCATGTGAATCGCTCTATAGCAGATTATTGCACGTTATAGATAAGAAAACTATATTTCCTGCCTGAGGCTGTAAGAGATGGAAGCTTTAAATCAGTATTTGTTCTGCGTTGCCTTTAACTAACTATCACGCTTCCTTTGTTTTATACTGACTTCTACATGTTACTGCTCTTATGCATTCCTGGTCTGTTTTAGTGGTTTATGATGCAGTTTTTGCACGTTTTATTAATGATCTTGTTTCTTCACCTTGTTGTGAAGCACATTGACCTAAACTATACAAATACAATTGTATTAATATTATTGTTATTATCACATTTTATTCTGGATAGACATTGGAGCTCATTTTCCTCAGTTTTCCTCTTTTGCTTAAGACAGTGACCTCCATAAAATTATTTACAGATTGGAAATACTCGCATGTATAGCTATGAATGTGTGCTATATATCTTTAATTTAGTACGGATCCCTCAAGATACATTTTTACCTTGTTTTATGGGGTTAAAATCCGTTCACCGATACTGATTTTATTGTGAAGGAGATGACCAGAAGTCGTGTTAATCTCCTCCTGGGCTGGCTTCACAGTGGTGAGGGAGGCTCCGGAGAGAGAGAGAGAGAGAGAGAGAGACAGAGGGAGATGGCTGAAGGGAAGGAAGACTGGACCGGGTCAAGAGCGACTTTGGAAACCAACATAAGGTGACCTTGATCATCCAGAGCTGTCCGCGCTGTGGCGAGAGTCCGGACCCGAGAAATAGCGCAGCGAGCCGCCGGGCCTGCACACAGACTGTTTGACAAGGACCGTTTTCTACCTGCTCATCCAAAGAGACAATCATCAATATCTGCCGATCTCCTCCCTGAAGGATTCCTCAACTGCACCAGAGTCCCGTTTGGATTTTCTGTCACCATACTGAGTGTGAGTATAGAGCTCCGTGCCGATGATCTTAAATGGCGATGTCATGCATCATATAGGTCAGCTGATCATGTTCTGCCACACTTATTGTGTTACTGTAGAGACGCGAATTATGAAAACACAGATCCGCATCCGATGACGCGACCTTCTGATGTCGATGAAGCCACACCCTCAGACAGACAGCATTCAAATAGCATTGTTTGGGCCACATGCATGAATGAACCCTGGCCTATTTAGTGGGGATGCTGCCAGCAGCATGATCATCAGCAGCAGCAGCAGCATTCACTGCAGGACAGCCATAGTTTTTTACTGTAAGGCATCCAATGAGCTATTCCTCCTAACTGTCAGATTCCCAACTACAGATCAGTATTTATTTAGAAATCATTGGTGTCTGGACTTATTTGTCTTCATGGAGATCTTTTAAATAACTTTTACTTGCTAAGAGCTCATCCCTTTTTGAAGATGTGAGGATAAGGAGTTTTTACAAGTTGACATATGTGCTTGTGTTGGTGAAAGGGACTGTGATCTGGGAGTGTTAGAATGCCTTTAATCCCACATTTGCATGTGCATGTTGGCAGTTTAAACCTGAAATCAGCCCCAATGAAACGGCCAAATACGATACCCTCTCAAACACAATACAACAGAGAGTGAATACAACTGTACAGCTGGTGCAATGGGAAAGACGTCCCAAGGTTGTAGAGCTGCTACACGAAGAACAGAGCATGTGCATAAAAGCAGCTTTCATATGTGTTGGTGTGGTCGTGCATGTGCTTGTAACACCAATGTTATTGAAGCCTTTTATGTCAGATGCACTCGTCCATCACCAGCTGTCTTTTATCTTCTAACAAGCGGAGACAACCACCTATCTGTGGAGGAGACTCAAACACACACGCCTGTTCTCCGTCTCTATTTATATTCTCCTCCGTGAGCCACACCGCTAGCTGTTTGATCTGACACTCAGGTGGATTTCATGAACCAGATCTGTGGTGTGTATATCCGACTGTCGCCTGCTGCGCATCTGCAGTGGCACACTGAGCCCTGCAGAATAAAGACGGAGAGCTGCAAGGTCGCTATATGCACAAGCACTGCTGTATCTATACCTCAGGTAGGGGGATCAGGATCAAACTCTTACTGGGCTCCTTCAGTAGTCTGTGATGTGTGAGGAGGGCCTCGCTGGGTCACTGGGAGATCAGGAGGTGTGATTCGCAGTGTTGGCTCGTGATTCAAGAGTTTCTCTCTTAAAAAACAAGAGATGTTGTTTTTCATGCACTGGTGTGTTTTGAGATTTGGGGTTATTTTCTTTCAGACTAGTGGAAAGAAAACATCCCAAATACACATGTCAGTCTTTATTTTATAACTATGTCTATCTCCATCTGTAGATTTATCCAAAATTCTACAAAAGTTATCATTAGATAATCCCTCATTTGCATATTTAAACATACAACATCTTATCAAACTTTTCTATGGCTGCTGACAGTATTTTGTGATTTATGGAGTGATAAAAAGAGATATCCAAACTTCTCTCATTAAAATCATTTGACTCAAATATGTCAACAAAAATGAACCAATCATTTTGAACCTTATTAACATTTAAAAGATAATGTATCTCAGCCTGAGACCCACTGCTCTGTGGTTTTACCTGCCGTCGGAAAAACAAGCACTTGGGGAGAACAAGAGAAAATAATTTCCCGGTCACGGATCAATTAAGTAGTACTCTTTCATGATATCATATCGGCTGTTATCAAGAGCTGCTCTTAACCCCCGCGTGCCTTCTTTCATTTCCCGATGAATGAAGAGTGGTGTCTGCAGTGGATAGGCTGTGATTTATTCAGCCTGCTGGCAGGCAGCACAGTGCAGACTCAGCACTTGAAGTTAAAGACTCAGTCGGGAAAGAGAGAGGCTAATTGATGAGTGTGGACTTCCCTCATCTCTCCTCTCCAGGTCGCTGTAGCTGCCGTCTCCTGTCTGTGAGGTGGATCTGCTAACCCAGTGGAGCTCCAGCTCCAGAGGCCCATGGCCCCTGTTTCTCTCCACCAGTGAGAGGTGAGCCAAGCTGGCCTCCCCGGCCCCCTCCCTGGCCCCGGCCCCAGACCTGGACCCGGACCCGGACCCAGATCCCGACCTCCACGGCAACGAGGAGCAGTATGTGAGCGAGGGCGTCTCCAGCCAGCTTGACACACACCCGGCTCCGCCCGACTGCAGGGACGCCGAGACCATCACAGGTGTGTGTGTGTGTGTGTGTGTGTGTGTGTGTCAGTGTTCAGAAAAATGAGCCTTGATTTCAGTTTGTATTACGGAGAATCCAGTGAGTTGTAAAAGAGTGAACTCAAACATAAAAGGATTGCATCTTCGACTGAACCGAAAACAGCAAAATCTCCAAATATAGCTACAAAGTTTCTGAAACTTGCTGCTCCTTCTAGCAAAAAACAAAAGTGTGATTTGTACCATTGATTTGACTTGAATTTGAGTATCGACACACTGATTGACACATTAGGAATGGATTGACAGTGAACATTTTAGGTACCGTGTGACCCTGACACACCTCATCATGAAGGCCTGCAGGGCACCACCAGGCAGCAGCTCATTGACCCCCCACCCCTCCCTCCCTGTCCTCTATGTGATGTTCAGATGTGTGCAACAGCACCGACCTGCCAGAGTTTGAGATCATCAGTCTTCTAGAGGAGCAGTTGCCGGTGTACCGGCTGCGTGCTGACACCGTCTACGGCTACGAGCACGATGACTGGCTGCACACTCCCCTCGTCGCCCTGGACGCCAGGCTCGACCTGACCACCGAGCAGATCGAAGAGACGCTCAAATACTTCTGTAAGTCTGACGAGAGGACAGAACATACATAATTATACATACATGATATGCTCCTGATGAAGGGAGCAGGAAGCTTTTCATTATCTTGTTTCAAATTCAGGCGGTGGAAATGCAGTAGAGATATAAACTGAGGAGGGACACTGGAGATTAAACCGGCGGGGTTTTATCTCTGGTGTCTGAATACATGACCTGGGAACATTTAATCCTTCATGGGTTCTTGGAAAGATAATCTACTTTAGTTTGTGGGAATGTGAGTGTGAATTTCTTGACGGGTTTTGTTGTGGAATATTTCTTATGACTAGTCGGGAGAAGAAAGTGAAGGTTTTCTATCAATATAAAGTAAACAGAGTTTTGATGAACGATCAAGGTTTGTAAAGTCAATTTATTTGCTTGCAAGCAAAGAGAACAGTCTCACAGACACATTGCAGTGATCTGTAAGAGTGGTCTACCTAACAGTCACAATGCATGGACATTTATGCTCAGACAGCTTCCTGTTATCTGCTTAGCTAACAAGAATACACAAAGAACACAATAAAAGGCAGGTCATCCTTCAAGCCTTAGTATACTTCATTTAAGACAGTCAGGAAGATGCTTTAGCTCCTGTTTGCAAATACCTTTGTTCACAGTTTGCCTTACAATAGACCATTTAAACACACAGCAGATGCTTCCTTTGAAGCCACTGTGACATTGTTAAAATGACCATTGCAGAGACAGAATAGACATTCTTTACCCTCACACATCATATATGCATGCAAAGGTTTACGCCTTTACAACTTCAGATAATGCGTCACAAAGGAAGTCAAAAGTATTTCAAACAGAGGATCTCTGTTAGTCAAGGCCTCTCTGTGTCTCTGTCTTACGAAGAAGAAAGAAACAGTGCACAAGATAACAGATACGAAGAAGAAAGAAACAGTGCACAAGATAACAGATACGAAGAAGAAAGAAACAGTGCACAATGATAACAGATAACAAGACACCTGGATACTAAACTAATTAAAGTCATCTACTGAAACTACAGTTTGGTGTCTGCTCTTTTAGGACTTACATTCTTTAAACCTTCACATGAGACTATGACATATTTTCCCATTACAGTTTAAACACATGAGACATTTTTATTTCATTTTTTTCGGGGAGACCACAACGGTTCACAACAACAACAACAAAACTAAACACAAACAATTCACAAACATAACACATAAAAAAAAGTAAGTAAGGGTAGACTCTCTAATACGTATATACGAGTAAAAGTGGGATAGTATTAGTGTAATATTACTACATTTTCATGATCTTGCAGTATGTAGTAATATTATTCAACATATTGCTTGCCACTATAGCTTGTATTGTGGAGTTTTAGCTGGAGGCTTCAAAACTGTAGTCACATTGACTACGTCCACTTGTTATATACAGTATATGGTTCAAAATCTCACTTAAGTAAAAGTAAAAACTATTAGCATCAAATTATAAGTACCAAAAGTAAAAGTACTATTATTCAGAATGGCCTATTTCAGAATTGAAATGAATGTAAAAAGAGTAAAAAAGTACAATATCTACTTTCAAAATCTAGTGGATTAAAAGAATAAAGCAACATAAAGTGAAAATACTCAAGGAAAGTACAAGTACCTCATCATTGTATTTGAGTAAATACTTTGTTATATTCCACTATACTGCATTAGGGAGTATTGTTCATTGTTTAATGTATCTCCTCTAATGTTATAGAATAGGATGCTGTTTATTTACTTTGTATGCAAACAACTTATTTATCTCCTGCATCACATTCACTGTGCCTGCTTATAACATTTGTATTCTTTTCAATGTCTATTTTATTCTAATATCTATGTTGTTATGAGCCCTTTGTAGCTCATAATAGTGTAGTGATAAATCACGTTACAGTTTAATTTTAGCATTACACCGTATTGTGTGGTTGGGCCGCTGTTTGCAGCATGATCAATGGTAAAGAGTTAGTGTGTGTGTGTGTGTGTGTGTGTGCGTGTGTGTGTCAGGGGTTTGTTTGCGGAAAAATGTCGCCATGGTAACAGTTGCTGGAGGCAGATAGATGTTCGGCAACCTCGGAGAGAGGAGAGAGGAGAGAGGAGGAGAGGAGAGAGGAGGAGAGGGGGAGAGAGGAGAAGAGAGGAGAGAGGAGGAGAGGAGAGAGGAGGAGAGGGGGAGAGAGGAGAGAGGAGGAGAGAGGAGAGAGGAGGAGAGGAGAGAGGAGGACAGGGGGAGAGAGGAGAGAGGAGAGAAGGGGAGAGAGGAGAGAGGAGAGAGGAGGAGAGAGGAGAGGAGGAGAGAGAGGAGGAGGAGGTAGAGGAGAGAGGAGGCAGACGAGGGGATAAGGTTAAAAAAAGGAGAGCGATGTGGGAGTGCATCACTGATTGGCTCTTCCTTCCGTCCTGCATCCTCTCAATTACAACACAACTTCTACTCCAACTCAGTCGCCGTAGAGCGCCGCACACTCTCTCACATCTCTCCCCCTCCCTCGCACTCACAGCGGTCATGTGGGCGGAGGGTTATTCAGTCTCTCTGGGCCTGTGAAACGGTAGCTGAGCAGTAGCAGTAGGAGAGGGAAAGCGAATGGATCAGTGTTTGGATTGGTTTTCTGCTTGTCGGTCATCGTGGAGGTCAACGGAGAGATGGACAACAAGAGCGAGATGGACAGATTAGCGAGGGATGAACGTGAGCTGGATGACTGGCATTATAAGGAGGACAAGAAAGGTAAAGTACATTTATGAAATACAGAAACTAAAGACAGGTTTAATATGTGATGAGGGAGTTTAATTGTGGCATTTCTTTCTTTCCAGCACTTCGATTTTTGTGCGCAGTAGATTGAAGTGTAGCTCGAGCTTTCGCTGATTAAGTTTGTTTAATGACTTCAACAGATTACAACAACAGCTTTCTCTTTTCTTTATTTCAAGGTCTCTAGCAACGGCAACAAAAACCAGTGTTTTGTGAGATTCTTGGTTAACTTACACCGGAGCTTTTGTTCTTCTCATTAAGAGGATTTTGTTTCTCGAAGCCCACTGACTTTGAGTTTGCTCTGTTTTGACATATCAGCCCTCGAGTGCACACGCATGCACACACAAATCCCCACAGTCCACTAACCAGAGTGGATCCTCATTCATGAGCACTGTTGAATAGGAGAAACTCAAAAGGTGACTCAATGAAACCACAATTACATTGTTTACCTCTGGTTGTAATACCGATGAGCATTGCAGAGGATTAGCAGAACATATTCAATAACTTTTGTCCCAGCATGTTATTGATTAGAGCTCTAAAGTCAATGACAGCTTTCACATCAGGGCAACAGAGCCAACTGCTGAGCTGCTCTGTCGTTCACCAACATCGGATCAATGGTGATGGAAGTATCACATCCTAAACATGACCCGTCCACCACCTCTTCAACCTTCTGCGTTACATAATGTGCCGTTGTGCGTCACACCAAAAGTGATTTAGTTTAATATATATAAAACTGAACCTCGCTACCTTCCTCTCACTGTGTTGGTGTGTTTTATATTCCCACAGTGCTATGTGCAGACAGAGTGGGCCAGATGACGAAGACCTACAGTGACATCGATGCTGTCACACGTCTGTTGGAGGAGGTGAGACGGCCTTTTTTTTTCCTCGGTCTGTTTAATTGAAGAACATTCTGGTGCATGCAGCCGTTGAGTTCTTCAGTGCATTTACTCAGCGCTTGTATATGCTGCTAAACCTACCATCCTCCTCCTCCCACCACAGAAAGAGAGAGATTTGGAGTTGGCTGCAAGAATCGGCCAGTCGCTTCTCAAGAAGAACCGACGTCTGACTGAGCAGAATGACTATCTGGAGGAGCAAGTGGCACAAATCACAGAGGAGGTCTGCTGCTCTCAACATTCAAACAATCCCAACTCGAGCACCACTTAGTAGCTCTTTCTGGAGCTTTCAAATGAATCACAGTCTTCATGAATATAAACGGTCCTCTTCCAGGTGGCCCAGCTGCACCACGAGCTGAACCTGAAGGATGAGCTGCTGCAGTTTTACACCAATGCAGCGGAGGAGAGCGAGGACGAGTCCAGCAGCTCCCCGACGTTAGCGTCCTTTTCTTTGTTACTCAATATCGCTCCTCCAATCTGCAAATATGTATCTCATAATTTACACACTATAGAGATGTAAAAGCATAAGTTTATCGTATATATTTATCTGTCAAAAGGGGGAAGAAAAGTAAAGTGGAAACTGCTTCAGGAGGCACACTCCAGACGAAAGTCAAAGAGCTGGAAGAGGAAAACCTCTCACTCCGCTCAGAGGTATCTCCACTCACACACACACACACACACACACACTGACACAATGTAAGACTCGTCTGGGATTATAGAGTGTTTATAATGCGTGTTTGTACACAGGCACACCATCTGAAATCAGAGACTGAAATTTATGAAGAAAAGGAGCAGCAGCTTGTCAATGAATGTGTGAAAGAGCTCCGTAAGTATTGAATCACACTTGCACATGTTGTCTATGTGTGTCGAAACTTAAATATCTGAGATGAGTGATTCCCAAACTCCGGTTCACGCCCATGAAAGATTTTTTTGGTCTCAGACGTTGTTTTTATGCTTTTTTTTCAAGAAACTTGTGAACACATCTCTGGTGAACACAAAATTCAAAGTGGTGCTTTTTTTTGTGTGATTCTTTTTGGAGCAACTCAGTTTTACAGATCTGTCGATTAAATCAACTAATCGATTACTTGACGAAGACTTTCTTTGTTTGAGGACAGCCCTACAGTCTACATTGTTGGTATCTGTGGAGGAAAGTGGTCCTTTGAAAATCCGGTTTGATGCATGGTCCGAAGGTTTGGGAACCTCTTAATGAGACTGAACTGGATTGTTTAATTCTCTTGTTGTCTCTCCCTCTAAACCTTTCCTTTCCATCCTATCAGGGATGTCCGGTCTCCAAATCTCCACCATAGCGGAGGAATTGTCTCGTAAGACTGAGGACGCTTCCCGCCAGCAAGAGGAGATCACACACCTCCTCTCTCAGATAGTAGACCTGCAGAAGAAAGCCAAATCTGTGAACACACATGAACCGACACATGAACCCACATGAACTCAAAGGTCACTGTTATCATACTTTGCTCATTTTTGCTAATTCAAACCTGCATGTGTGTTTCTAGTATGCGGTGGAGAATGAGGAGCTTTCTCAGCACCTGGTGGCAGCTAAGGATGCCCAAAGGCAGCTTACAGCAGAGGTAACTTCCACATCACTGCCCTGTCTTGACCACAGTCCCTTGCTTGCCAAGCTGATACCAGACACTTTAATTCCAAAAAGAATATTTTGTTGTCTTCAAACAGCTCCAGGAGTTGGATGAGAAGTATTTAGAGTGTATAGAGATGCTGCATGAGGCCCACGAGGAGCTGAAGAACCTGAGGAACAGAAACTTCCCTGCAGGGACCCCTCGCCGCTTCCATCCTCTGGGACTGTACCCGATGGTGAGGGAGTGTGTGTGTGTGTGTGTGTGTGTGAGCGTGTCTGTAGATGTGTGTGCGTGACCGTCGTCCAGTCCTTCATGAGGAGTGTTATGTGTTGCAGGATTCTCTGGCAGCTGAGATTGAGGGAACAATGAGGAAGGAGATGAGCCTGGACGACCCCGAGTGTGAGGAACAGAAGTACGTATGGACTAAGAGTCCAAAACCAAAAGGGTTTTACGTTATAGAAATAAAACACAAACTGCACACGCTGTTGGCTCATTCTCACGTGTTTTGTTGTGCGCAGGATCCATCGGAGGCGCGTGTTTGAGACAGTGAAGAACATCAACCAGACAGTCCGCCAGCGCTCTCTGACCCCAACCAACGCCAACATCCCGGGCTCCAACCAGTCTCTGTCAGCGCGTACGTCGCCGCAGTCCAGTGGCCTCTGCACACCTCACTCCAGCGTGTACGGAGGTGACGTCAGCGGGGACGGTTTGGCACTTGACAACCGAACACAGAGCATCCTGATGGAGACGGCAGCCAATCAGGATAGGTAATTAATAGATTAGAGGAGAAGTTGATATTGAGGACAATTTTTAGACATCTACATGAATCAAAGAGTACCTTTGTACCAAATGTTATTAGTACAGTTTATATAACACGTACTTCAAAAAATTGGTCCCTGTTTGATCCGCAGCAGCACAGAAGGCCGAGAGAAGAAGGCCAGCGGAGCGGAGGACCTGCGGCTCGCCCTGCGCCGCCTGTCCCTGCGTCGACAAAACAACCTGAGCGAGAGGCGCTTCATGGGAGAGGAGAGGGAGCGGAGACGGGGAGTATACGGAGGTCTGCATGATTCCCTGGTCCAGGAGAGCCCCTCGTTGACCCCCTCAGAAAGCATCATGTCCCTTGGGAACCTCCACCTTTGGGCCTCACGAGGGCCCTACCTCCCTGACAAGCTCCAGATCGTCAAACCGCTTGAAGGTGAGGGTGAAAGGGAGGGCGGGGCGAGCTGCAAAGCGGGGAGGAAGTGGGAAGGCGAGCTACACCGAGGGGTCAGGACAAAGAAGGGGAGCAAGCGGGGCTGGGGGACGGAGGGGGAGAGGTGGCTGGAGAGCCGGCATGGGCGGACGCTGGAGGGGGAGAGTGGGAGAGGCTGTGGCTGGGCGAGGAAGACCGGAGCTGGGATAGAGAGGGAGAGAGGAAGGAGGTGGGCCAGAGAGCGAGCCGGGAGCAGGAAGATGAAGGGAGCGAAAGAGAGGCCTCTGCCGCTAATGCTCTTCAACTCTTTCTGGTCTCTGATGCACCATCATAAATCCAGCAGTTTTGCGTCTCCACACAGCTATTACAAAGACACACAGCCGAGGGGATGGTTGTAGACAGAAACACACTCTTTGACTGAGCTTGACCTCCCTCTGGGATAAGGGAAACAGACTTCTAATTAGATGGACATGATTCCGGTTAGTGTAAAACTTAACCTGTAGGCCAGCGATTTAATGTTGTCACAGCTGGTGTTTGTACTTCGACAGCTGCACCTGAAGTTTGAACCCAGAGAGAGCAGCAGCAGCGTTTAATTATTCCCCTTGTGATTCAGTGTTGATTTAACCTTAAAGGTGGCTGTTGTTGACCTGTGCTGCCCTCTGCTGGTAATAATTCATACTTCAGTTACAAGCACGGCTATATACACACATACATATTCTAGCATTTATATATTTTACATGTGAAGCACTACAAAAGTACTATGTTATGTATATGATTGAGTGATATACATTATGTACAAACAAACACTCCTTTCTATCTATATGACAACAAGAAATACAACAAATGAGTGCTTGATGCAAGAGAATCTTCTTATTGATGAAATAATGGGACTCCAGCAGCTGTTGTAAACGTTATTATGATTATTGATTATTATTGCAGCTGAATTGGAATATCAGGTGAGATGTCATTGAGGAATGGGGTTACAACAAGACGCTCGACAAACGGTGATCATCTTAAATAACTACAACTTATGAAAACAAAAGGAACAGTTACTTTACAGAGTCCCGCCATGGTTTGAATTTATTCCAGCTATGTTGAGAGACACTTCTCGGGTCCGAAGACACTTCAGCTCACTTAAAGCTCCTCTGTAAAGCCTCCTCAGTCCTTAATCCTTGAGATGCAGATGATTTCTGGAAAATTGAGAAATGAGAAAGTCCTAAAGAAACATCCATTTGTTTATTTGTACACCGTCTCATTTCCTATATATGCATTATTCTGTCTTTGTGTTTCTTTACTGTTTATCATTTAACTTCCTGTTTGCTCATTCTGTCACTGCTTGCTTTCTCTGTTTCAAATTCTTCATGTAAATAAAAACCTTTTCTCATTCTACTTGCTCCTCCATTTCATTTGCATCACATTCCTCTGCACTTCATCGCCTCTTAGCGTCTCTGTATTCTTGCCACCTTTGTTTGTCATCTTGATCATTGACGCTCATTCTGCAGCATTTCTCCTCATTTGTTTTTTCATGGATATGCTTGTCAGACAAGTAATTATTAGCATTAAATGCATACATTTAATGGTTACTTGTCTTGCTTTTGTTGCATAATCTTATATCAGCCCATATGCTAGTACTGTATGTGATATGTATGAGATGTCTACATACATACGTCTATCTGTCAATTTGTTCCTGCACCAGTATCACAAAACTACAGTATTCATGTAGTATCAAAAGCATTAAATGACAGACGATAAAAGAATCGGTTACATATCAAGAGTCATAAACAAGTGTTTAGCTTTGTGTGTGTGTGGTTAAAGATATTGAGTACATTGCAGTATTCATGTCTCTCCACCAGGCTCTGCCACGCTGCATCACTGGCAGCAGTTAGCCCAGCCGCACCTCGGTGTGATTCTGGACGCCAGGCCGGGAGTCGTGCCGAAGGGCTACAGACCCCTTGAACTAGAGCTGGAGCAGGTCTGTGTGTGTGTGTGTGTGTGTGTGTGTGTATATGTGTGTGTGTGCGAGAGGCTTCTGAGTCCGTATCTACAATATGGTCGTGTTCATGTAAATGCATCTCTTTATGTTTACCGTATGTACAGCTGTGTTGGGTTTATTCTGCATTATGTTAACAGCATTAGTTGGTTTTTACCACTACGTGACAAAATGTGATTATTTTCACCATAATTATACAGCTTTTTCATTGCACAAATATAGACTTTATTTTGATATTTAGAGGAAAGTGATGTATAGCAAAAATCTCGTGTGTGAAAATATGATATAACTTGACTTATTACTTGCAAAATACCCCCCACCCTTCTCCTAGTTAACATTGGTACAAGTGGTAACACTGTAATGATTTGCACTCCTTCGTCTGCGTTGTCTACAGGTATATCCATGGGGTGGCTTTGAGGAGGAGGAACCGGGGGAGCAATACTTCCAGAATCTGCCCACCTCCTCCTCCTCCTCCGCCTCCGCCTCCGCCTCGCCAGCCGTGCCCTCCACCTCCGGCACGTGTTACACATACCTCGGGCCGCCTCCGCCCAGCCTCGTTCCACCTTCTCCACCATCCCCGTCCCCATCGCCACATCTCAGCAACACCGACATCCTGGGTGAGGACACGCTGTACATTTGAACATGCTGTATTTATGTATATAGTTGGAACACGTGCAGTGTTTCATGTTGTTTTAAATTACTGTAATGCGTTTGCCTTTTACTTGCAGCTGCATACTACCCAGGTAAATGCATGGCCCACACCAGCTCTACCTACACCTTCACAACGTGTCGGATCCTCCACCCAACCGATGAGCTGACGCGGGTCACGCCAAGGTAAGTGGTGCTGCTTGAAAATGTTTGGTCAACGTCGACTTTTTGGCCCTTCCCCTTGAGTTTCTCAAAATTTCTCTTTGATCTTCATTCACAATCAACAACCGCAAAGTGAATGCCTTATTGCAAAATTCATAATGAAATAATGTGCTTTTATAAGAACCTCCTCTCCTCTGTTTTGAATGTTGCATGCTTTTAAAAAGCAACTCAAATGAGTTTTGTATTACATTCCATGTGATATAATAACACTAAATATCAACATATTAATGCAGCTTAATGTGGTAATGTCCCTTCAGAGGGCTAAATGTGCACTCAGTCTGAATTCCAAGCAAGCAACATTTAGTAATCTGTCTGCTCGACAGTCGAAGGGCGTTAAATAATACATGCGCTTGTGGAGAAACAAAATCCCCTGTGTATGAATAAAATCAGTCAGTTTACAATGATGAGATATCATGAAAGTGAGTATCATGTTTGTTATTCCCTTTGTTTTCCAGTCTAAACTCAGTCCCAGCGACGTCCTCCTGCGTGATGACCAGCACCCTGTTGGGAACTCCGGCTGTTACACCCTGCACACCCCGCAGGCTCGGTCTCAGGCCGTCCGAGTCCTCAACTAACCTCAGGCACGGTCCTCAAATGCTATTACTTCATTTCCAGCTTCTTTCTAAAAATAGGTCTTTCTACTGTAAGAAGAAGTTTCTTAATGAGTAAGCAGATTGTTGTTCGGGTACTTTTACAAAGCAAGACATGTAAGTTTCATGATTAAATGAAACTTACATGGCAGAAGAAACTTAAAAACTTAAATGGCAGAAGAAAGCCGACTGCGTTGCTTTTATGACAATATAAGTCATTTCATATCTCAATAACGATGTATATATATACATATATGTATATATATACATATATGTGTTTCCTGGTAATTAAATAGATAAACACACAGCCTATTTTTGTATACTCATGCGTGAACTAAATACTTGACAAATAAAAGTATTTCCTCGTTAAATTAAGAACTTAAGTGCAAGACTAACAAAACCGTTTCAAGTGAAATTATAGAGAAAGAAATTAATGAATATTTCAAGCTATACACTGAATATGTGTATATATTTTTCTGAGGAACTTCTTATTATCAATTTAGATGACCTTATTGTGTATCATGATATGTAAATATATGTTTTCATCATCATATAGTTCAGTTCAAAGATGATAAATTATGTTTTTTAATTATCTCCAGCCCTAGTTGTTAGGATCAACGTAACCTTTGTGTCTCAGTTATTTGGCAGTCAGTGTGATATTGACTCTCGTTTGTTTGTGCAGAGATGCAACACGCACCACCAGCACCTCTCTGGGGTTAGTGCGCCTCCTCCAGGAGAGAGGGATCTCAGCTGCAATGTATCACCAGAGCCAGGGCCTGGAGTACGGTCAGGGCAACGGAGGAGTCCTATTCAGCACCTCCATCACCCCTAACCGAGCGCCCAACCCCGACCCTCTGCACCCCTCTACCCCTCCCAGCTCGCCCACAGGACAGGGCGCTTCAGCTGTGCCAACGTCTGCGGGCTTCGACTTCAAGAGCCCTTCCTACGACAACTTTCTGACCTCCAAACCGGCCCGCTCCATTCTGAAGGAGGTGACGGGGAGGATGAGGGGCAGGCAGAGAGGGAAGGATTGCGAAAGCCAGACGGACGTTAGCGTTACCGTCCACAACCTCAACCTGCTGGACAAGGTGAAGCGGCTGGGTGTGGCTGGAGGTCCAGGAAGCAGAGCAATGAGTCCCGGCCCCATCCTGGGGCCTCTGGGCGGGCTGCGCAGATCCGGCTCCCCTTTTGGGCCCGATGGAATGAGGAGGAACCCGAGTTATCCATCCATGGTCGGGCCCAGCATGGCCATGAAAGCCCCGGGGCCCCAGGAGTAGTCTGGACTGCTGCTGGCCATTAGAGAGTAGGGCCACGGACCGACTGTTGATCAGTCACCCGGAGCCCAAACACTGACTCACACTGTTCATACTGTATGACAACAACGTGGCACTACTGTCTCTTATCACTGCTGTGGTTCCTCACAGACACTATCCATGCTTTAGTGCTTTTAGGAGGTGACTCAGAGTTTTCCAACTCTGAAAACCACGCTAACCAGAGGGGACAACAATCAGCGACACACAAAGAAATAACTCGTACCAGTTTATACATACAGTCTATGGTTTAAGTTCGCCCGCTATGGCAACGGTGCACATATAAATGGCCGTTGCTCTACACATCCAGCTACATTGATTTGAATGTGAATGTCCCTTCTACTCACATTTTATTTCTATGGCGCCACATTATGCAACCAAGGGCTAAAAGGCTAACACAATGCCTATAGCTAGCTAAAACCACTTGATTTCAGCATGTCAAAGAATTAATGCAAGCTAATGTTAGCTGTGTGTTGCAGCTAAGGCACCTGCCAACATATTACTGCACAGCTTTCTGTTTTATCCACAATACATTATAAGACAAGTTGCATATTGTCAAAATGCATTAGCTTAACTTACAGAAATATAGTTACCCTAAAAGTGACATTTAGACAAAATGATTGCTACACAAAGTCTTTATTCCGAGTCTTATTTCTGATGATGGCTCACTTTTGTCTTCTTAAAGACTTTTTCGGTTCTAGTAAAAACGTAGTTCTGGGTTCTTTACCCTGTTGGTAGTTCATCTCACCACACAGCAGCTTTCAGACTTTTTTCTGTTGTTTGCTAGCCGACGAAAAGTGACAAGAAGGAACCTTCACGCAATATAAAGATAATGGAGAGCAATGAATTGTTTGGGCAGGACTTAGTGCTCTGTCTCAAGAGCAAAATAATTTAACCCAAATTGTTTTCTGATATATGCAGCTATGCAGATTTGGTTTTATGCGCTCATATTATGAAACATCTCTGAAATGTCTCAGAGATGTGTTAGTTTGACTCACATATGTACAAATCTGGGAATTTAAAACCAATTTTATATAATTACATTTTATGTAATTGGGTGAACTGACCCATTAAAATCAGAATATCGATATAAATATATATATCTATTGAGATATCGCCCACTGCTCTCCACTCACATCGCTGCTTTGGAGACTGACTCTGCTGGCTGGATGTAGTACTCCCACTCTTGCCTTTTCTGAAAAACATCCACAAAATCCCACTCACATCCAGACAGCTGCACTCTGTTAAATCTGCCATCGCACTAGTTGGCTCCTTGTAGTCTCTGTAGCACTAAAACATGCGTTTCTTCTTCTCTGTTACTGGATTAAGATCCACCATTTTATAAATGATTCAAAACTTTACACCAAATATGTGAAAATACATCACCCTTACCTTCACTCTCTCCCCCATCAGTCTTACCCCTTCCTAAATCCCTCCTGAAGTGATTAGGTGTGAGTCCGACATGTCGCTTTCAACAAATCATGAAATAGATTTTAAGTCAGTATTGAAGATACTTTGGTTTACTTTCCTAATTGGCCATTAGACGGGGAAGTTGTTGCGCCCACTGAACGGGACGGATCGATGCGCTGAGGCCACAGCTCTCAGAGAGGACGGAGAGAGGGATGAGGGAAGTGGCAAATCAGCCATTGTGGTCAGAAGCTTTTGGAGAAATGAAGCAATATAGTGCCTCGACCCTCTATTTTTTGATCATTATTTGTTCTTCTTGTGTTGGACCAAAGGTGGTGAAGAGTCGTTGTTGCACTTGTGTTTATTTATTTAAATAAATCCTATGAATTTAACCTATTTTTCATTTTTTTCGTGCTCACTGTATATACTGTTCATTGTCACTAAATTGTCATTACTGGCTCACTCACTCATAAAGGAATCATTATAGTGCGTATCCAAGAAACACACATCACTGTAAGTAATTGGGGTAATCATGTAATGAGTTGTTTTTTTTTCAAATAAAAATTCTGTATCTGAATCTTATGGTTTTTCCGTCTCTGTGTGTGTGTGTGTGTGTGTGTGTGTGTGTGTGTGTGTGTGTGTGTTTTTCCCTCAACAAGACATAAAAAGAAGAATCCCAGACAGGAAATCATCGTGTTCCCCTCCACCAGCAGATGGAGCTCACGAATAACCAGAAAACAGTCCGTATGTGAAGCGCAGTGCTTTTGTCCGTCTGTCCACACTGGCACAGTCATAATCCATTACCCATTCACCATCTGTATCTCTTGTGCTCTGAGGGATATGATGAAGGCTGCTTATTAAACCTCTATTAGCCGCAGGGTGAAGGAGAGGTTGGCAATAATCAAAAAATGCCGCTCTGGCAGCTGCGGAGTCTTAATACGAAGAAATGAGATGAAACTCTGTTTCAAATGTCATTGACATCTTTCTCTGTGGATATTTGTCCTCTTAGCATAACGTTTTGGTAATGTGATTTATCACAAGATCAAATCCGCTGCCTCCTGAGGTGAAACATGGTCATCCACCCTCAGGTGCAAACCGGATCCTCTTCTGAGCTCAGAAATCACGTAAACCGCGTAAATTGATCTCCCAACCAATGAGATCAACACTCTCATAATGTCCCACTGTGTTTGTTAAAATCAACATTAGGTATTACATGAATATATTACATAAAAGTGAATACTTTTAGCCATGTGAGCAGTGTGGCTCTAGAGATGTCGGTAATTACTTGTTCCGCCACTTTGGTCCAGAGTGAAATATCTCATGTGTAACGACTATTGGATGGACTGCCGTGAAGCCATGAACAGACATTCATTGTTCCCAAACAATTAACTTTACTGATTTTCAGTCGGTTACAACTTACGCAGGTTATTGGGAGGCGTGTCCTGTGCAGTCTCCTTATCTGCACCCAGACAGAAAATAGTCCTGCAAATAACCCACCAAATTAGTTTTTTGGACAAAATGAGATTTAAAAAAAAAAAACCATACATCTGGCTCATGTATTTAGAGGGAAAGTTTCTTTTATGTATTTATTTGCAAGGGTCCCCATTAGCTGATGCCAAAAGCACCAGACAGTCGTCACACAGTTTGAAACACAGACTGAATAAGTAACCAAATAACTTCTTTCTACTGAGTATAAACATGTTTTCTGGTGAGACCACGTCCATCGTGATATACCAGAGACAAAAAAAGCAGAAAGACACATGCTACTCGTCTAATGGCAATGGGAAAGAAGTCTATTGCCTCTTTTGGCGTATTTCCCCACGTTTAAAAACCCAGCACATACCTGTTATGTTTGTAGGTCTGCATGTAGAAGATTTCATGGGGTCGTCGTGAAGTGAAGTGGGTCGTCTACAAGGCCGCAGCTAGAACCTTCTCTGAGAGCTTTGGTTTGGCTAGCTGTTTCCCCCTGATTCCTGTCTTTGTGCTAAGCTAAGCTAACAGGCTGCTGCTGGCCTCACATTTACATTAATATAACACTTTTTGGGTATTTTTTTAACTGTTGTTTGTGTCATGAATACTTTCACATAGAGCGTAAATATCAAGATGCAAAAAAACAGCGACATTTTTTTGAGCTTTCGCGCAGTGAATAAAAGCATCAACCAATCAGGTTGTGTGTGTCCAACGGACATATTCAAAATGTACACTATAGTGTACCACAACACAGAGGCTCTGTAGTCTGAAACAAGAAAGTCAACTTTATTACTCCTTTTAACCCTGACAATAACAGAACAGATCCATTCATTCTGTTCTTACCTTTCACAATAAAAGCACTTGACACATACTGTGCGTATCCGTTTACCAGAGGCAAATTCCCTCAGAGTATTTCCCTAAAAGGAAACTCAATAAAATAGCTTATAGTAGCTTCGACTATACATCCATTTACCACAGACACACTGCCAGACGCTGCTCTGGGTCAATAAGAAAAAGAGTTGCAACTGTCGCAAATTCGCCATTGGTATGAATAGTTTTGAGCAGTCTGCATTTTCGTGCCGTGTATTCGCCCCTCCACCGGTGTGTAAAGGCCTTAACTTGTGACAGTGAGTGTAAAAGTGTTCTCAAAATGACAAACAACTTATTTTTAAATGTGTAGTATCCTACATCACCATCTTTATTTGCTGCTGTGTAATGTGGTGACGGTTGCAAGATGCATTTATATCATGTGAGCTTTGAATTCTGAGGTTTTTGGAGAACACTCTGCTTCCCTGCTTTTACCATAAGTTCCTCTGTTTCATACGCCAGTAAAAGGCCTTTGAATTGACAAAAAGCTGATTTGAGGTTAAATGGACCTTTTTTTGGAGACAGACAGGACAGAGAATGAAAGACGAGTACGTCGAGCCAGTTTCATAGAGGATCCAGGAAGAGCTCGGACCATCTGCTCGTCACCGTTGCTGGATCGTCATTACAGCCACACTCTTGGAGCTCATGTTCCTTTCATGAGTGTGTGGCTTTTTTATCCATTAGCACACAAAACCCAGAGCACTTACGCACGTGTGAGTGCCCGAATCGCTCCATGTCGTAGGCTGCACATGGCGTTCGCTGCTTCGACCTTTTTTTTTGCGTCATTGGTACTCCTAGCAGATATCCACATCCACACACACACACACACACACACACACACACACACACACACACACAC